TGCCGCCGCCCGCCACCACCCACCGCCTCTTGCCGCCGCCCGCCACCACCCACTGCCTCCTGCCGCCGCCCGCCACCACCCACTGCCTCCTGCCGCCGCCCGCCACCACCCACCGCCTCTTGCCGCCGCCCGCCACCACCCACCGCCTCTTGCCGCCGCCCGCCACCACCCACTGCCTCCTGCCGCCGCCCGCCACCACCCACTGCCTCCTGCCGCCGCCCGCCACCACCCACCGCCTCTTGCCGCCGCCCGCCACCACCCACCGCCTCCTGCCGCCGCCCGCCACCACCCACTGCCTCCTGCCGCCGCCCGCCACCACCCACTGCCTCCTGCCGCCGCCCGCCACCACCCACTGCCTCCTGCCGCCGCCCGCCACCACCCACCGCCTCTTGCCGCCGCCCGCCACCACCCACCGCCTCTTGCCGCCGCCCGCCACCACCCACCGCCTCTTGCCGCCGCCCGCCACCACCCACCGCCTCTTGCCGCCGCCCGCCACCACCCACTGCCTCCTGCCGCCGCCCGCCACCACCCACCGCCTCCTGCCGCCGCCCGCCACCACCCACCGCCTCTTGCCGCCGCCCGCCACCACCCACCGCCTCTTGCCGCCGCCCGCCACCACCCACCGCCTCCTGCCACCACCCACCGCCTCCTGCCACCACCCACCACTGCCTGCCACCACCCGACCACCACCACCCGCCGCTGATCGCTGCCACCCACCACCACCCGCCCGCCGCTGCCCGCTACCACCTGCCGCTACTTGCCATCACCCGCCACCACCCGCCACTACTCGCCATCACCCGCCGCTACTCGCCATCACCCGCCGCCACTCACCACCAACCGCCACCGCCCGCCACTAAACAACCACTGCCCACTGCCCTCCGCCGCTGCCCGCTACCACCTGCCGCCACTCGCCACCGCCCACCACCGCCCGCCACCATCCGCCCGCCACCATCCGCCCGCCACCATCCGCCCGCCACCATCCGCCCGCCACCATCCGCCCGCCACCACCCGCCCGCCACCACCCGCCCGCCACCACCCACCCGCCATCACCCACCTGCCATCACCCGCCGCTCCCCACCACCACCTGCCACACCCGCCTACTACCACCCGCCACCGCCTGCCACCACCCACCACCACCCATCAATGCCTGCCAACATCTGCCACCACTGACCACCACCTGCCACGATCCACCGCCCGCCACGATCCACCGCCTGCCTCTACCCACCACCGCCCGCCACCGCCTGCCTAATAAATTATACCTAATAAATTCAATAATTAATAATCAGAATTAATGATTTAAAAACCTTTGCTCCAAAATGTTATATCATGACATTTAAAATACGTTCTATTAAAACGTTTTTACCTCACGTTTTATAATCGTCTTTACGAATTCTCAAAATACGTATTTTAAACGTAATTTAAAACGTGCTCAAAACAATGAAATGTCGTTTTTAGGACGTTTTGAAAATACGAAAATGTTTGGTGGCTAGTTGTCGCTTCCCCGACGTCCTTAAGTATCTTCAGGAGGGTTGTCTTGGAGAACGCATGCTCGTCGAGGGGCGTTCCCCGGACCTTGTAGCGTTTGTGACACATGGTAGTGGGAGGAAGAGCAGTCTAGACAGTGCTCTGATCGTCAATTCATATCACTGGAGAAGGCCTTCCGTCTCTTCCTGGTATAAAACACTAGGCTGGGAGTGGGGTCCGACCATCTAGAGTGAAGAGCAGAGCGAGAATCCACCTGGAGCTATGTCTGTCAAGGCCGTCCGCTGCCATGTGTGGGTCCTCTATAACCCTTGTAAACTCATTATATTGGGTTAGTTTGCCTATTATGTCTCTGCCAAATCATGTTCAAAGGTACCAACGACTATCTGCTCATTGTACGATGACACCAGTGGTTGTGCAGTGCAACCAACTAGACCTCTTTAATACCTTCTGGTTGTTGGGTATCTTACCTAATCCTTGAAAATGTGCCTTACTTTTTCACTGTGCGAAGCCTGGAGAGAATTCCTTTGTCTTTAGTCCTTACTGATCCATCAGTCTGTTTATGTGTCTCGGGGGCCACCGATCATGGCTTCAAGTTCTCTGCGTCTAAGACTTGTGCTATGACTTTTACTCGGAAGCGTGTCGTTCTTCGTCCCTCTTTGTCGCTTTATGGTCATCCCATTGTGTACAGGGATTCCGCAAAGTTCTTGGGGTTAGTCTTTGACACTCGTTTGTCTTGGTCAGCCCATATCTCTTGCCTCCGAGTTGAGTGCTCTAAGGCCCTTAACCTACTTAAGGTTTTGTCCCATACTTCTTGGGGAGCGGATAGACGCACGGTCCTCTATTTGCACTCCTCTCTCGTCCTGTCTAAACTCGATTATGGTTGCCCTGCTTACTCTTATGCTTCTCCTTCTACTCTTCGCCATCTTGATGCTTTGCACCATACTGGGTTGCGTCTCGGCTCTGGTGCCTTTCGTTCGACTCCCGCCCTCAGTTTGTATGTTGACACTGGCTTTCTCTCTCTTCAGGACCCCTGTGATCGCTACTGTCTTCGCTATCTTGCGCGGTCCTTACAACATCCTTCCTCTCGCCTCTGTCATGCTTTGACTTTTTCTCCTCTTGTAGCTCCTGTACCTCTTCATCGTCTCCCACTTTCTGTCCGGTTATCTCGCTTGCAGGATTCTCTTTCTGTTCATATTTCTAATGTTTCTCCTCATATTGTTCCTTCCTTACCTCCGTGGAGAGTCCCCCTTCCCAAGTTTTGTACGTCCTTGACTTGTCTTACTAAAGCCTTTACCCCTCCTAAAATTCTGAAAAGCCTCTTCCTTCAGCACTTTTCTTCACACTCCCACTCTATTTCCATCTTTACCGATGGGTCTAAGTCTGCGGACGGTGTGGGCTACTCTGTTGTTTTTCCTGACTGTACTTATATGTGTCACCTCCCTTCGGAGGCTAGCGTCTTTACGGCGGAACTTTATGCTATTCTCTACGCTCTCCGTCTCTTGCTTTCTCATTCTCATTCCTCCTTTGTGGTTGTAGTTGACTCTCGTAGTGCCCTCATGGCTCTTGGGTCCTTTAATCCTGTCCACCCAGTGGTCATCGAGATTCAGCAATGGCTGTTTCTTATTTCTAATAAATTTAAATCGGTAGAGTTTTGCTGGGTTCCCAGCCATATTGGTGTTTCTTTCAATGAGCGTGCGGATGCTGCCGCTAAGGAAGCTATCCGCTCTTGTCCCATCTCCCATAAAGGTCTTCCTTATTCCGACTTTTATCCTGTTATTCATTCCTCCATCCTTGCCCGTTGGCAGGGTTGTTGGTCCTCTGTGGTTAATAACAAGCTGCGTACTCTCAAATGTAGTGTGTCCCCGTGGCCTTCCTCCTGCCACCGTAACCGGCAGTGGGAAACTGCTTTGGCGCGGCTGCGGGTTGGCCATACTCGCTTAACCCACGGTCACTTAATGGAGCGCCGCCCTGCTCCTTATTGTCCGAATTGCGTTGTCCCTCTTACAGTTGTGCATATCCTTGTTGAATGTCCTGACTTCCAGGACGAGCGTGTGTCTTGCTTTCCGACCGTCCCTCGCGGTCACTTGTCCCTCGATAGAATTCTAGGTGAATCGGATACTTTTGATATCGTTCGCCTTATGCGTTTTTGTTCTCGTATTGGCTTTCTTGGTGATATTTACGCCCTCTGGTTATTTCGCACTTTGATGGTGCTACATAGCCTTCCCGGTTTGGTGCCTTCTTTTGATAATTACCTTACCTTATGTGTCTCGGGAACTTACTAGCTTGACTTCTTTATTGTGGTTAGTGGAGACATCGGTCTCCCTGCTGGAGGGCTACAGTCAAGTTCACCCAGGGAGAAGCACGACCACCAGCAGCTGCCTCCTCTCTCAGGAATGCCTTTTCATGTGCCTCTACCGCCACTGGAGTGTTCTCCTCGAGGTATTCTTATATTTCAAAGGAGCTTGTGAATCTGATTCACATTTTGCAGCTTCCAAACGGTATATAGTCGTACTGGCTTAGTGCTTTCTCCAAATAAATACCTTTCCTTTCTACTGTGACATTCTTCCCGGGCCTGGCTTTCCGTGGCGTCTCAGGGAGGGCACCGAGTTGCTTCCAGAAGGTTCGGGAGACCACTCTCTGTAGGTGGGGGTGAAAGGTGGCCTCCACCTCGCCCAGTCATGCTTGTGTCCTCTCCCTCCGTACACAGTCAGGGGTTTGGGTTTCTGAATTCAGATAATTACATATCTCCAGTGAGGATGGAGTCTAGTATTTAGTGAGAATGGAAATTGGTATGATACAAAGGGGGGTTGGGGATATGGGGGTCGACCCTGACTCGCCAATTAATCTCTGAATCTCACCAATGATCCCTGAACAACCATTAATCACCTTGCCAAATTTGGTGAGGTTATGCCTAAGCTTATGGCCTCTGACCTCGAACAGACAGATCTTGTAAAAAATAATATGTTGTTAGAATGTTTCTGATGTAATTTATTATATCTTTTAAACATAATTATATAATTTAATACAACCAGCACCGAACATTTTTATCTCCAACGACTTCATGAATGGCAACACTGGGGACGACTCCACCATCAAGGGGGGCATTAGGGAGCCCGAATCCCCAGACTTGAGATTTTGCAAACTAAAGTTGTAAATGTAAAGTTTTTCATACTAATGAAAATCCAGACTTGGAATTTTTCACATTATTGGAATGAGTTCCATATAACATCACTTATAATGACTCTCTTTTATACTCCCATATTTAGACTCCCTATGGGGGTAGAAACATTGTCTAATCTAACTTAATATAACATTATACAAAACTATTCATTTGGCTCAGAAAGATCAAGAAACGCAAATAGCCGCCATGTTGAATTCAGCTCTAGCAACTGTCACATATGCACAGTGACACCAATTCTAAAAATAATCACAATCAAGCATTAATAAACAGTGATTGTGCACTTTGCAAGATTTCAGGTGAATTCAGGCACTGATCTTGTGTTTCGTTATTGCAGACAGGCAATCACAGGATCTACCGGGACAGTCAGTCTCAAAAGATGGTGACCCGCACTCACAAGATCATGCAAGCTGACCCGAACCACGACTCCGGAAACTACACTTGTAAAGTCAAGGTTCAGAACAAATTTAGTCCACCGAACGAAATTATTCTCAATGTCATACGTAAGCTTTAATTAATTAACACCTTTGTTCAAATTCCTACACCTGTTTACATTTATTGTAATTAGTTTATTATACACCCAAGGTAAACATTATCCACAATACTTAGATGAAGTTCATCTTGAACACAAACATAACATATAACACTTGCTGTTCCCAGAGGTACTTGTTTGTAGACAAACAACAAAACCCACGTATACATAATGGTAGTGACCAACCTTAGTGACCGTGGCTGTAGAGGAACGTGAAGGCCACGGTCTCTAGTGACCGTGGCTGTAGAGGAACGTGAAGGCCACGGTCTCTAGTGACCGTGGCTGTAGAGGAACGTGAAGGCCACGGTCTCTAGTGACCGTGGCTGTAGAGGAACGTGAAGGTCACGGTCTCTAGTGACCGTGACTTATGAAGGGTTCACAATTACAATAGAGCATAACGAGCTCTTATACCAACCCTAGAGCTTGCTGACCAGAAGATTTAAGGTCCTGGAAGGACAGCTCATGTTTCCAGCTCCTGGAGTCAGACAATACCTTCCTCTGTCACTGGGTCTGCTGAACCCAGAGCTCAGTCAAGTCATACGTTAATGTCCAGTTTCTGCATTATCCATTGTATTCAAAAGGACAATTTGGCAGCTGAAAGTGAGGGTCAGTGTCGAGGTTATATTACTGTGGATTATATTCTGTTTATGGCCTCACTTGATGAGTCACTTTGAGTTCCACGAATACACTGAAAGTTCTCTTCTTCATTCGTAAAATTGTTGCAATAATCATTGTAAAATATATAATGGACTCATGATTATTTAAAAATAATGTTTATTCTTGGACACGACCTACCCATTGTGGACTGTTGAACAAGGCCTAGTTAATATGGACACTTGAACACAGCCTGGTCAATATGCACTGTTGAACGTGTCCTGGTCTATATTGAATGTTGAATACTGCCTGGTAAGCCAATATTAAACATAACAAGGACAGTTAATGGTACATATTAGACTAAAAAGATCATTATGTGTGTAGTGTTTACCACAGACAGTCGTGTTTATTATTCCCGCCCTCAGGCAAGAACTCGGCCCACGTGCAGCTGAGGCTCGACCACCCCAACATTACCGACATGGTAGACAGCATTACTTGGCACGTGTACTTCCGTGCCTACCCGGAGCCTGTCTTCGTCTGGTACAAGGAAGGTAAGAACTAGTGTTGTTTGTTAGGCATTGTACCGTGTATGTGTTACCACCCGGGACGGTACTGGTATGATGTACCATTAAACCTGGACTCTTGGTATGTGTATTACCAGTCGAACATTTCACTGAACTGTGTCAAGGGCCTCAAATAAACACCAAAGGCTATGCTAAGATGCCCTCCGAGGACTAGAAGAAAGGCCCGGCCTCCAAGGAAATATTCTCAAAATTTAACCTGCATGGGATGATGTCCTCTTGTGCCTGGCACACATGGTATTTAAAATGGATGTAATTACTGACATTTATTATAAACTTAATCTCACACAGAAAATGGCAGTTCCTGTTTACATTTATATTACTTGCCAAGAACCCCCGTGGACAGAGAACGTGGCTTACGAAGACTCGCAGAGGCATGGCCAAAGCACTCGAGGTGAAGCACTGTCCATGAACATCTCTCTCGTAATCCCACGCGAACATGAACCCACAGGTTGTAGGTTAGCTGCAGGGCGGCACAACTTACAGTCGGCCAACGTATGTTGAAGCACACGTTGGTGGGATCAATCTTGCCTCTGCTCCCAATATCTAACTATATTCCCCCATACATTATCTATGGGGTTCATATCGCAGACTTTACTAGGCATCGTGCTCGAACTAGTATAGAGCCGCCGAATGCCGTTCACATGTTAACCCCCAGTCGACAGCCGCACCTGTGACTAATTCCAGTCATGGCGACATGTTGTCCACCTGCCGTTCCACGCAATACAATGCAATGATATACAGCTCAAGATGCCCATTGGGCGAGCGGGGAAGTGGGTATTGTTGAAGAATAGTCGGTGAGAGGAAACGTCGGAGATGAAGAGATTATGCCAGGGCTTTAGCCAGCTGGAGGCGCAACACCGGGCAGGCCAGGCTAGTAGGCAGGTCTTGTATAGTGGCGCTGTAGTGTAGACTTCTGTCCTCGCGAATGATTGTCTTCTGTCTTCGATAGCGATCTTCACGTTGGCGGATTTGGTTCAACGAAGAAAATGGAAACAAAAATGCGCAAAATTAATTCCCCTGAAAAGGGGGAAGGTTTTTATCTCCTGTCGTTGGTTGGTGGTTGCTGTCACGTTGTTAATGGTGTAATGTTCCCTTTTTATTACTTGCTGCTGTCCGGCTGGCTTGCCTTCTAGTTCCCATGCCGTTTGTGTCGAAGGAGTCGGAGTCCCTGAGTCTGGAGCTTCATGCTACCGAGCTGCTCAATAGGTCCGAGTGAAGAGTGACTGGACCGTAGAATAGGTCGATGACGTCTTGGGGCATGAAGACTTGTATCGTAGGGTCTGCCTGTTTTGCTTTTATGTACACTTCGTTGCAGCGGTAGCTGTAGTCGCGCCTGTTATCCGGTGTTCCTGGGTCTGTGGGGTGTGGATTGACTTGAATATTGGGTGTGGTTGTCGGCGTACCTGGCGATGGTAGGGAAGGTGGGGTCGGCTGCCCTACGGAGACTTCCTCGTCTGACGTGTCTCAGTGTTAGGAAAAGGTCAACGAAGAACAACTGGTACTGGTCTCGAGGTCGAACTGCTCCCAAGACTACTGTGCACTAATTTTTTGGGGAGATATATACAAGAGTTGTTACATTCTTGTAGAGCCACTAGTACGCGTAGCGTTTCGGGCAGGTCCCTGGAATACGATCCCCGCCGCGAAGAATCTTTGTTACAACCAAGTACACATTTTACTGTTGAGTTAAACAGAGGCTACAGTTAAGGATTTGCGCCCAGTAAATCCTCCCCGGCCAGGATACGAACCTATGACATAGCGCTCGCGGAACGCCAGGCGAGTGTCTTACCACTACACCACGGAGACTGATAAAAGACTAGATCTTCTTTATCTTCTTTAAAAGATAAAGAGACTAATAAAGTCATGACTCTTCCCTCCTGTAGTCTCCTTCTCTTGTAGCCCGACCGACAACCAGACTTCAAAGGGAAAGAGATGGGAAACATCAACAATATTTGCCAGCACCTCCACCAGCGAACCCAGCATGGATAACCGCGCCCAACAGGACACAGTCAACAAGAGAGCACTCACACATGAACACAAGGTGTGCGAATATACAGGCCAACAGCACTCTAAAACCATAGTAACACTGGCAGCCCAAACTGGCAGCAGCAAATGGACAAACTAGTGGCACTGATTACATTAAACAGAGACAGCGGTAAAGCCGCTGCTGAAAACAATGGTTCAGCTGGAATGCAACACAAAGCCGCAGGGTGCAAACCAGCAGCAGAAAGTACTGCAACAATTATAAGATACAAAGGAAGAACCAATAACATAAGACACTTGTTGCACGAGAGCTCAAGCACACAAGATATGCAACTGCAGACTCTGTAACCAACAAATCAACAGAAGGATAAAAAAGTGCAGGAGTTGAACAGCCAATTCAACAGGCTAAATCAGCAATACCTGACAGTATACCATCACCATCTGAAATTCGAACAGGAGTTAATGGAACTCTAGGCATTGGTACGTCCAACTATGAAACGACGAACCTCTCAGTTCACAGATAGAAACCCAGACACAGCCTCCCTCACAACCACTGACAACCCCAGCAACAACAACAACACAATACTCTCCACTGAATGTCCACAACCAAATTCTGCCGGAGACACTATATCAGACCACACGGATGGCAGTACAAGCAGCAACTACGATGGCAGCAACAGCAGATATGCGAGAGACAACAATGATAAAGCTCACACGAACAGGACAGAGCAGACACTTAAGTGGTACAGTGGGACGCTGGTGGTCTGAAGCACAAGATCTACAGGGACACTGACGCAGAGATAACAGACATTGTATTGCAGCAGCAAACACCCTTATGGCAAGTTGATGATATAAGGCTTCCTAGCTGGCAGACCTTTAGGCCTCATAAGAGTCCAGGCAACCAAGGAAGGATGATAAGGGGTAACATCCAGCAAACCATGTACTCGGGGAGTGAGCCCAATATACTCAGGTGTTGATGTGCAAGCTGTCCACCTACAGCTCTGGGAGAACGCCATCATAATGTACAACATTTACACACCCCCCCCCCCCCCACCAAAGCATATTTTTTTTTTTTTTTTTTTTTTTTAAGATATATACAAGAGTTGTTACATTCTTGTACAGCCACTAGTACGCGTAGCGTTTCGGGCAAGTTCTTAATCCTATGGTCCCTGGAATACGATCCCCGCCGCGAAGAATCGTTATTTCATCCAAGTACACATTTTACTGTTGCGTTAAACAGAGGCTACAGTTAAGGAATTGCGCCCAGTAAATCCTCCCCGGCCAGGATACGAACCCATGACATAGCGCTCGCGGAACGCCAGGCGAGTGTCTTACCACTACACCACGGAGACATGGATATCCCAGCTGTAATACCACAGGAAAAGAAGTGTTTCTCGAACATTGGGGGCCGTCAACGCCACACACACGTCATTCAATGTCAACTGTCAAACACAATGGGGCCTGTGGCTGATTGGACAATGCTCTAAACTCGTAATTCTAGGGTCCGGGTTCGATCCCCGGTGGAGGCGAAAACCAATGGGCAGTTTCTTTCACCCTGATGGCCCAGTCATCTAGCAATAAATAGGTTCCTGGGAGTTAAACAGCGGCTACGGACTGCTTCCTGGAGATATGTGTATGTGTGAAAAAAAAGTTGATTGATAGTTGAGAGGCAGGCCGAAACAGCCAGAGCTCAACCCCCGCAAGCACAACTAGGTGGATACAACTAGGTGGATACAATACAGCAGGTCCCCCATGATAAACACAGTGATGGAAATACCAGACCTTCAACTCATCAGCCAAACAAGCAAACTGGCATTGAATGAAGCAGTTTAGACATAACAGTTGTACCAACTACAGTCAACGACACAACACCATCACAAAGACATGAAGGTCTCACTAGTGAACACTACGCTATTCTCACACAAGTTAATGCAACACAAATTTGTACAGCGCCTCAGCAACACCCAGATGGTACACTGTCACAACACCACCAAGATGGTACACTGTCACAACAACACCCAGATGGTACACTGTCACAACACCACCAAGATGGTACACTGTCACAACAACACCCAGATGGTACACTGTCACAACACCACCCAGATGGTACACTGTCACACCACCAAGATGGTACACTGTCACAACACTGCCATTACAGAGGCGGTCAATGAGGGCTCACCTCTCATCAAACACCCGCCAACAACACATACTGGGCACTAATCAACACCCACCAACACACACTGGGCACTAATCACCACCAACACACACTGGGCACTAATCAACACCCACCAACACACACTGGGCACTAATCAACACCCATCAACACACACTGGGCACTAATCAACACCCACCAACAACACATACTGGGCACTAATCAACACCCATCAACACACACTGGGCACTAATCACCACCAACAACACACATTGGACACTAATCAACACCCACAAACACACACTGGGCACTAATCAACACCCACCAACACACACTGGGTACTAATCAACACCCACCAACACACACTGGGCACTAATCACCACCCACCAACACACACTGGATACTAATCAACACTCACCAACACACACTGGGCACTAATCAACACTCACCAAGACACACTGGGCACTAATCAACACCCACCAACACACACTGGGTACTAATCAACACCCACCAACACACACTGGGCACTAATCAACACTCACCAAGACACACTGGGCACTAATCAACACCCACCAACACACACTGGGTACTAATCAACACCCACCAACACACACTGGGTACTAATCAACACTCACCAAGACACACTGGGCACTAATCAACACCCACCAACACACACTGGGCACTAATCACCACCACCAACACACACTGGGCACTAATCAACACCCACCAACACACACTGGGTACTAATCAACACCCACCAACACACACTGGGCACTAATCACCACCACCAACACACACTGGGTACTAATCAACACTCGCCAACACACACACTGGG